GTTAATAAGCCACATAAACAAATGATCAAGATGAAGATAAGGAAGGATGACAAAAGGGCAAAATAGTATATAAGTAAATACATAATGAAAAAGACAAGTAAATCAAAGCACAAATGAGACTAGTGACTACATGACCTTGTCAAAGGATTAGCAATAGATGCTCTGATTCATAAAGAAATGTTTTTGAACATTTTAAAATAACATGGACTTGGAAGGAAGCATGTTGCACATCTCACAGGCCATCTGTGAAGTCTGCCAGCCTGTGGGTGGTGACACACTGCTGCTAACTGCCTTGATTCTGCCAGACAGACACAGAATATGCTAGAGCTCATAGACGAAGCCAGATTTTATTGACAAAATTTTAAATCCTACAGTTCATTTTTTTTCTAAAACCAGGGTAAAATATTAATGAATTAGACCCAGTAGTCTCAGCACTCAGGAGTGTGTGGGTGGCAAAGAGACAGAATGACTTGCGTTTCTTCAAGAAGTTAAGTATAGTCATTAAACCATCTAAATGTTATTTTTACCAATAAAAGATATTGAAATATTACAGTTTTTTTTGTTTTATGATCTTGCCACTATACTGTTCTCTGTCAACCACAGAATATATGTCTTTAAAAGAATCAATAATATATAATGCATGAAAAATAATAAGGGATTTCCTTATTTCAATACTAAACTGGTTTAATGCCTAAAGAATTGAGCTGTACATATGTAGCTGGTACTTAATTTTTAATCTATTCTCTTTCTTCTTTTTCCTTCTTTCGACTCATTTTAGTTTTTAATGCTATTCTCTTAAGATTGTTGGGGTCAGATATTATGGCTTTGGCTATAATTATGAATTCTAAATAAACCCCAGTTTTCTCATGTAGATTTTCTTTTTGTCTAAGATATACAAGGTTTGTTATTTCATACACATTTCAAGACGTTATGTTGGTAGCTGAGTGATTTAACTACATGCATGTGTTTTGTTGGTAGTTTGGGTGTGTTGGTCACTGGTTATGAGCAAAGCAAATGTTCATTAAACTAAGCACATACTCTGCATGGTACTATAGTCATGTTTACACTTACATTCCTAGCAAAGTTCTGTTTTAGAGTGATGGCTGTAAAGACCACAGAATTGTAGTGCAAAGTCTTAATTTGGTAGAGTTTAATGCCTGTTGTTGTTTCCACCCTCCTTCTTTCTTTTTTTCCTTTTTGATTATAGGTCTGGTTGCTTGAGATCCACATGAAACACTGATTGTCACCTGCAAATCACAAATGTTGGTGGCATACCTCACTTACCTCACATTTTGAAGTGAATTTTGGAAGCTGCAATTTTAACATAAATGAAAATTTAGAATTCTTATTTCCACAGAGGCTAGAATTTTCTCTTCAAATGATGTTTAGTGAAATCATGAATTATAAAGGCAAAAATGTAAACAGTGATAATTATACGTACTTTAGTCATGAACTTTTGATTGTGTATATGAAAATAGAGTTCTGATCTTTCAAGAGCCAGTAGTTTTGTTCTAGATCAGTGGTTCTCACCCTTCCTAATGCTGCAGTGCTTCAGTAGTCTTTTGGTAACCCCCAACCATAAAATTACTTTTGTTTCTACTTCATAACTAATAATGAGAATGACTTGAAAATAAGAAAACTAGGAAATTCATTGACTAAAAAGCTATAGGAAGTGAATGTATAAGAAAAATAAATGTCAGAAAATCAAAATACAAAAAGAAAAGAAAAGGGCCCAGCTTCATTTGTAATGTGACAGTTTAATAGACCCTACTAACACTGCTGTAGACTGAAGGAACATAACCAAAAGTTGGTATCAAGAACTAACTCTGTGACTATAGGTAACTGCACATCTGAGAACCTAGTCATTGAAAAATGGGCTACAATGTGATGCTTTTATGATAATGATGCTTTCATGTATCTGGAATCCAGCTGCAAACAGGGCCCACTGTGCTGCAGCATGTCTCCATCTGAGTGGTCATCTAGATGTGCCATCTTAAGTGAGACTAGAAACCACGAACTCATCTTGTCATGCATCCTACTATGCTTCTTCCTTCATGTGTTCAGATACGTCTTTGGAAAAATTGTCTTAACATGGTATGAGAAATTGAGTAAAGGAGGGTTTAAAAGTCTGTTAATTTTTGTTTGTTTATTTGTTTATTTTTCTTTATGAGTGAAATTTAATGGCTCGAGGACTTGACTATCTTAGTTCTTCATTGTAAGTGAGTAAAAGTCTGCTTTTTTGTTTGTTTTTATTTTATCATATTTTATTAATTTTTTGATGTCTGTTTTCTTTTTTTCCCAAGAAATTGTTTTTTATTAGTTTAAATTAGAAACAAGCCTGCTTTACATGTCAATCCTCTCCCTCTCCCTCGCTTCCTCCCAACACTCCACCAGCCGTCCAACTCACCCCCCCTCTGCTCCCCAGGGAGGGTAAGGCCCCCACATGGGGGCTCCCCAAAGTCTGTCATATCATCCAGGGCAGGGCCTCAGCCCTGCCCCATGTGTCCAGGCTGAGAGAACATCCTTCCACGTGGGATAGGCTCCCAAAGTCCCTTCTAACTCCAGGGATAAATACTGATCCACTACCAGGGGCCCCATAGAGTGCCAAGGCCTTCTCATTGACATTCACATTCAGGGGTCTGGATCAGTTCCATGCTGGCTTCCCAGACAATAGTCTGGGGTCCATGTGCTCCCCCTTGTTCAGGTCAGCTGTTTCTGTGGATTTCACCAGCCTGGGCCCAACCTCTTTGCTCTTCACTCCTCCCTCTCTGCAAGTGAGTTCCAGATTTCAGTTTAGCTGAGGGTGTCTGCCTCTGTTTCCATCAGCCACTGGATGAAGGCTCTAGGATGGCATGTAAGGTAGTCATCAATCTCATTATCGGGTAACATCATTTAAGGTAGCCTCTCCACCATTGCCTAGATTGTCAGTTGGTGTCATCCTTGTAGATCTCTGGAAATATCCCTAGTGCCAGATCTCTTCTCAGACCTATAATGGCTCCCTCTGTTGTGGTATCTCTCATCCTGCTCTCCTCTATTCTTCCCTAGACTCAACCTTCCTGCTCTTCCATTTCCTCCTTTTCCCTCCTCTTCTCCTCCTCTCATTCTCCCAGCTCCCTCTCCCCTACTCTCATGCTCCCAATTAGCTCAGGAGATCCTGCCCTTTCCCCTTCTCTGGGGTCCATGCATTCTTTTCTTCGAGTCCTTCTTGTTTCCTAGTTCCTTTGGTGATGAGGATTATAGGCTGGTAATCATTTGATCTATGTCTAAAAATCATGAATGAGTGAGTACATACCATGTTTGTCTTTTTGCAACTGGGTTACCTTACTCAAGATAACTTTTCTTCTAATTCCATCCATTTGCTTGTGAATTTCAAGATTCCATTTTTTTCCTTCCATTGTGTAAATGTACCACATTTTCTCTATGCATTCTTCAGTTGATGGGTACTTAGGTTGCTTCCAGGTTCTGGCTATTACAAACAATCCTGCTATGAACATAGTTGAACATATGTCCTTGTATGAATGTGCATTATTTGGGTATATGCCCAAGAGAGGAATTGCTGGATATTGAGGTAGATTGATTCCCATTATCCCAAGGAACTGCCATACTGATTTCCAAGTCGTCTTACAAGTTTGTACTCCCACCATCAATGGAGGAGTGTTCCTTTTTCTCCACACCCTCTCCAGTCTGCTTTTTTATGTGACTACAAACATGAACAGAAAAAAAGGAAGATATTATCAGCCATATAGTTTGATAGATATATGACAGGAAAATACTCCTGTTATGGCACCACAGGTACTATACTGTATGGTACACTCTTCTTTTAGAAGTTAAAAATCCAGGGTAACCAACTAAAGCATTGAGAAGTGCTGTATGAATGACTTTATTTTGTTGTCTTTATACGGTAAAGAAGTTATCTTATAACAAAAAATGAGACCATTGCGTTGCTCTAATTTTCTTTAGAGCAGTAGTTCTCAGCCTTTCTATTGCTATGACCTTTTAATAAAGTTCCCATGTTTTGATGACCCCAACCATCAAATTATTTTCTTTGTTACTGCATAACTGGAATTTTCCTACCTTTATGGATCACAATGTAGATATCTGAAATGTGACTCCCAAGCAGGTCAAAACCCACAGGTTGAGAAACATTAGTTTGGAGGGTCATGTAAGATCTGGAGTAAGTTAGCAATTACAGGTCCTCTGAAATTCTAAGCTTCTCCTGGAGACAGCTTACTAGAAATCTTAATAAAAAAGTTTTGTTGGCATCATTTTGATTTTGTTGGCTCCGTTTCTCTTGCACTGGGAATTGGAGCAGATAGAGAAGTCTGATAGCTTGTGGTGTGGTCTGCCATTGACCATTCCATCAGATATCAGAGGAACTGATGACCTCTTTCTATAGTGTTCCACTTGACTTATGTAGCTTCACATTTTTTTCTGCAAGTATTTTATATTTTCTCATAAATAAAATTAATCCAAACTGTGAAATAAATTCGCTCTATCTAGCCAATGCAATTGCTATTTAGGAAGCATAATTATTTGTGCTTTTTAAAATGTAACTATATTGTTGGTCTAGATGGGTCAAGCCTATATTCCCAACACTCAAAAAATGAACACAGGATAATCAGGAGTTGAAACCCAGCACCATTGTGAGTGTGGGGACAGCATGGGCTACATGGGATCCTGTTTCAAAGAATTTTGATAGAAAAGTAAAGAATTACATCAAACTCATTTAGAGGCCAAACAATTAATAATTTACAGTTGTAAATTTACTAATTTACAACTAGATTAAAAAAGACTAATTTCTACTTTCCTTCCATTGTAAAATGCATACCATAAAAGGATACATTTTGAAAAGAGTGATACTTGAGTTATATTGTAGACAGCATGCTTGACTTCAACACCTTGAGTGAAATGTGAATAACAAAAATAGCCAGTTGTTTTGAAGCCTGTGGTTTTGGAAACACCTGTTCTAATATACATCTGTGCTTGTGTGCTTGCTCTAGGAGTCCAAGATCCGCAGCATGAGAGAGTTGTCACAGTATCTGCTAATGGGAGCATCCACAGCCCGAAGTTTCCCCACACTTACCCAAGAAATACAGTGCTGGTGTGGAGATTAGTTGCAGCTGATGAAAACATGCGGATCCAGCTGACCTTTGATGAGAGATTTGGGCTGGAAGACCCAGAAGAGGATATCTGCAAGTGAGTAACACATCTGGAGTTCTAGCATTGTGGAGCACTGCTGTTTTCATGTTGATTCCTTGATAAGATTTTAAATGGAATCTTTGCTTTGTTTTTTTGACTGACCTAACTTTACAAATTTTATTTCAACTAAGGTCTTCTTTTTAAAAAATCAGGATCCTCATCAATACACATTCAGTGATTATTTTCCGTCTTTCTACTTCTGCATAATTTGTGAAAACCATATCTAATACGTATAATAGAAAATAGAGAACAAAAGCTGTGTAAAGGATCATAGTTATACCAGACAATTCAAATTACCATTAGCATTAACCTTATATTTGATCTTCCTGAAAGTCAAGTTAATGAAATAAATAAACTATTTAAAAAGAGTTGAGAGATGGCTCAGTGGCTAAACTAGCCATGTCAGCATGAGTACCTGATTTCAGATCTCTAGCACCCATGTAGCTGGTGTATAATCTCAAGCTGGGGTGAATAGAGATACAACTCTGCAACCCTTTGGCCAGTCTACATATCTGAAGCTGTAATCTCCATGTCCAACCAAAGATATCCTGTTCCAAAATATTAAGGCACAGAAGCAACTGTCTATTCCCTGTATCAGCTTTTGGCATATACAGATATACACACACATATACAACCACAAGTCACTTACACATGCATATACCACACACACACACACACACACACACACACACACACGCTTAAATGTTCACAAGCAAAAACTGTTATCTAAAGATGTACATTATTTAAATGACACACTGATACCTAACTACATGCATGAAGAACTAAGAAGCTTAAGACTTATGAGGAGGAAGGCATACAGTTTGAAGAACAGAATTTGACATTCAGGATAAAAATGCAAAGTAGGAATGCACCATGGTTCCCAGCAACATTCAAGATCTCATGAGCTATTTCACCCACACAGAAGCACTACTCTAAGCCAGACCAATGTTCTCTTTCAATCTCATGGGTATATCATCAAGGTTGAGTGGTCTTAACAACGTTTGCTTCAGTACCATTTGTGTATTATGAAAGTATTTCACTTAAAGGTCTTTGTTGAATTCCTTGTCTTCTTTGGTATGCAAGTTAAAGTAGAACTTTCCTTTTGTCATGTATTACAGATAAATATTTCAGTGTCTGTCAAGTAAACATCATAATTGCTGTAGTAAATTTTTAGCTTTATTATTTCCCTGCATTTCTTCTGTCTGTGACTGGGGTTTGAGTTGTGTTTTCCCTTCTATTTACAATGTAGTCCATCAGAAGTAGGTGCTATCATGAGATGACTAGGAATCAATCCTGCATTCTATAGGGTGTCATGCAGGTGAGAGGATTGAGCAAATGTCTAGGAGATGCATATTCTATACTGCAACACAAATGAAAACTTGTGTTTGTTGGTTCCTGTTTAGATAGTTTTGCTGTGATAAGAATTCCAAATCTTGTGAAACACATGAAGAGTCTTGGATGTACCACACTGAGTGGAAAAACCCTAATTTAGATCAGTAGAAAAGGCCCCAGAAACATCTGTATAATTGACAGACATATCATAGGAGAAGGCATAATATGTGTGCACTTTGTCTAAGTAATATATGTTTTTAGTTAATGATCTGAAGATAACTGTCATCTTACCTGCCACAAGCAGTGTGTGATATGATTTTATCCAGCATGCAGCCCAACTTTAAGCAGCCACCCTTTCCTTGGCTTTGACTTTTGTCTCTGATTATGTTGTCTTGCTCCTCTAAGTACTGTACACCTGAGTGACACCCCCAGGCCCTAGCCAACCTTTCCATTTTCTCTACCTCAGTGAATCACTGGTGTCTCTGGAATTCTTCTACACAACTAAAGAAACCTTTGCATTTATGTCTAAGAATGGTCAGAATGAAGACCTAGCATACTATATTCCCAACTTGACCAAGTAAAATTAAATTAAAAGTGACCATTTTAGACAACTACCACTTATGTATAAAGATCGTGGTTTCATAGGATTCTTACTGAATTTTTTCTTTGTCTTTCCATTTTTGATAATACAGAAAGTATGAAATTGTACCTGCTCATTAAGTTGAATTCCGTTTTCTGATGAATTTCCATATGATGAATTGAGCCATTTTCATTTTTACTATTTGCCACCCTTGCTTCCTGTCCTTTGAAATGCTGGCTCCCACCTCCTGTCTCATTTTCCTTTGTCTGTTTGCCTATTCAAGTCTTGTGTCTCACATTTAAGCCTTGGCTCTGCTGGCATGTGTTTCTGTGGCTGTGCAGGCTTTCATCAGGGCATGTGATAGCATGCACTTCTCACTGAGTGAAGAACCACTCTCACCAGGGATGTGCAGCGCTAGACAACTTGCATGGTAGGCTTCTGCTAAGGATCTGCTATTTCTGGACTGCTTGACACCTTTGGTCAGCTGTATCTGACTTACTGAATAGCATTGTCTTAATTAATTTTCCCATTGTAGATACTTCTGTTAAGGGTGACTTATCTTGTTTTTCTCATTTGGAATCTTCTTGGTTACTTTAATTTTCAATATATTTTTGAATATATTCTTTTAAAAATTAGAATAATAGTAATAGAGTGTATTAATCAGGGATTGTTGTTATAGGATCAGAATTTATAGAATGAATAGATGATAGACAGACAGACAGACTGATATGGGATTTATTGGAATGACTTACAGGCTGTGGTTGAGCTAGTATAGCAATGGCTGTCAACCAACAAAAGTTCAACAATAACAGTAGTTGTTTGGTTCATGACGCCAGATGTCTCAACTGGTCTTAAGTACATGCTGAAATCCAAAACTAGGTTCTGATGACAATGAAGGAATGTACTTGCCAGCAAGAGTGAGGGCAAGCAGGCAAGGAAAGCAAGCTTCCTTCTTCCTTGTCCTTTATATAAACTGCCCAGATTAAAAGTGTATCTTCCCACCTCAAAAGATCCATATTAAAAGTCTTCACACTTCAAATGATTTATGTAAAAAATTTCTCACAGGTGGACCCAGCACCTTGGGTTTTTGCTAATTCCAGATGTAGTCAAATTGACAACTAAAAGAGCCATCACATAGGGATTGGGGCCAGAACCTCTCACATACTGGGCAGTCGATCTGCCACTGAGCCTTATTCTAGGTCTCTTTCTATTTGGAGGACAGAGTCTGAGGATGTTACCAAGACTGTTCTTGAGCTCTGTCACTCTAAATGTAGTTGCCCTATGGTCTTAGCTTCTTGAGTAGTCTGAATTACATGCTCATGACACCAGCCTAGTTGCCTTTTGATATATTCTCTAGAAATAGGTTGTAAATCACACAAATTAATTTAAAAATATCTTAGAATCTCTAGAAAAATTTGAAAAAAATGATATAATCATAGAGAGTCTTGACTTTAGGAACACCATACTTCTGTGTTTATTGGGATCTCCTTTTTATGTCCATACATTTTAAAACTTTTCTTTATAAAAATGTTATGTATGTGTGTGTTTTATATACATAATTTAGATATATTTCTAGGTTTTTTGTTTCATTTTGAATTTGTTTGAGGTTTTGAGATAGGTTTTTGCTGTGTGACTCAGGCTGTCCTCGACTCATAATACTGTGCCAACCTCAGCCTTGCATCTATGGTGACTAGTCATGCATTTCCATTTTAATTCTGTATTTTCTATAGATTGTTTGTGTCTTCTTTACAAATCTACACTTCTGTGGTGGTGGGGGGAAATGGCTTAGTGGTTAAGATCAGTGGCAGCTCTTCTAGAGGACTTGGGTTCAATTTCTGACATCCACATAGCAGCTAACAACTGTCTGTAACTCTAAGATCTGACACTCTCACACAAACATACATACAGTCAAAACACCAATATATATATATAATAAAGTTATTAAAAACTCTTCCTAATTATATGTTGCTGTTATATAGAAATATAAAACATCTTTTAATATAATTCTCTTATTTACTAACTTGCTCTTTTCTTATTTGCTCAATATTTATTCTCGGGTTAATTTGAAGTTATAAAAATATGACTTTTAATGGAAAATTTTCTCCTTTTTATTCTTATATTGTCCTTTTCTGTTCATAGACTCTTGGATGTACTACTAAGCATTGCTGTCCATTTTATTTTAGAGAGTTTGCTTTGAAAAAGGTCCTAAGTTTGCAATAAATTCATATTTGAAGAATGTTGCAAATACAATATAGAAAATGAACCTGTTCTGGTGATCCAGGTTTTCCTAGTGTTAAGGTCTCACAAAACCACAGCTCATTTGCATAACCAGGAAATTAATATCTGCGTGATGCTGCTAGATAAAGTGCAGACCTAATTAGGTGTCAGCAGATTTTCCATTTCACAGTATTCCTTCCAGGACATGCAGTCTACATTTAGCTGTAATGTCTCCTGGCCACTTCTAATTGTAACTGTCTTACTTCCTTTCATCTTACAACTTGAATTTTCTGAAAAAAAAAAAAAGCTGCTCAGGCTCTTTGTAGAATACCCTATTTCTAGGTTTTCTCAGTTCCATTGTTATTATAAGGAGGGTTTAGGTCTGGAGAAGAATTATACAGTTCCTATGTGCTTGTTTTACCAAGAGGTCTGTGCTATCCAAGTCACTTATCAGTGGCTTACCCCAGGTTAGACTTGACCAGGTGAGGATGATGCCATAAGCTTGAATTCTTCTCCAGTAAGACAACATAATTCCCTTTCACAGCCTGGTATTTGTAGTTTTGTAACCATGTCCAACCAGTTTTAAAGAAAAGAGTAAGCTTTGCCTCTAGAGGAGAAAGCTTGTGGTGGTGGAGGGGAAGAATGGATTATGGAAATGACAAATTCATTAAATTAAATGAAGACTTTTTAATGTTTAGAATTTAAGATTATCAAAAATTTATAGCCTTTCTCTAAAAGTAAAGCAATCCTTTTTGACATTTGCTTGTCTTCCTCCTGTTTATAATAGAGTTAATGTGCCTTATTGTTTGCTCATTTATTTATTCCCACATTCAACAAATATTTACTGAGCACTGTGTTTGGTAATAGG